GGTCGGGAGCGCGCTGGCGCAGTCCTCCGGGCCACCTGGACGCAGCGGGACGGGCGGCGGGGCTTCTGCATTCCTTCCCAGCTCCGTCGCCTCTGCCCTAACTCCATCTCTTGCTGCCTCTTTCTGTGGCCTCTGTGCCGTGGTGTCTCCGCCCTCGCCTCGCAGACGTGTCGCGGGCCGTGGAGCTCCTGGAGCGGCTCCAGCGCAGCGGAGAGCTGCCGCCCCAAAAGCTGCAGGCTCTCCAGCGGGTTCTGCAGAGCCGCTTCTGCTCCGCCATCCGCGAGGTGAGCTCGGACTACGCCTCCCGACAGCTCCCGAGCCGCCTGCGCAGGGGCCGCGCTGTAGCCCAACCCAGGGCTCTGTGGGAGTTGTAGTCCGCTGGGGCGGGGCGAACCCTTGGGTGACGGGGGAGAGGGGGTCCGGAGGCCACAGTGGCGACTGTGTCTGAGAGAGGAGGAAGCTGGCGGCTCCTGATGCTGCTGCGTCCTCCGCAGGTGTATGAGCAGCTCTATGACACTCTGGAGATCACAGGCAGTGCTGAGATCCGGGCTCATGCCACCGCCAAGGTAGGTGCCCCCACCCTGCCAGGCCAGGTAGTCCGGTGCAAAACTGCAAAAACCCCGAGTCTTTATATTTATAACTTCCTTTAAATAACTGCACATTTTAAACTTAAGCAAATATCACATGATAGGCCAATGGAAACCAACATCGAAGTGCTGTGTAGAAGATAACTGTAAACGTCGAAACAGCAGACTGTAGGGACCTCTTAGTACTCTGCACTTAGATGCTACTTCTTGTTGCTGCCTGGTGGCTCCGAGTTCCCTCCAGGCTTAGTTTCCACTTGTAAAAACAGAAGATTGGGCTGGGTGTGATGGCATGTCCCTGTAATCCCAGTACTCTGAAGGGCTGAGGCAGAAGAATCCCAAGTTTGAGATGCCAGCCTGGGCAACTTAGCAAGGTCCTGTCTCAAAATAAAGTGTAAAATGACTTTGGATGTAACTTGGTGCAAAGGCCCTGGCTTCAATTCCCAGTACCTAACAACAAAAAGCAAGATTGGCAAGTGTTGAGTGTTCAAGACACACACTACCTGGAGACTTCGTGCTGGCCTGCCAGAAGCAGGCAGGTGAACTAAAAGGGGATGCAGTCAGCACAGTGTGACCCTGAGCTTGGGGAAAGTGCTCTGGCTCAGCTTGCTCTCGCTGCCCATCCCCATGCCTGATCCCGAATGCCCACTGTGGAAGGGCCCTCACCTCCATACACTTCCTCTCTCCCAGGCCACAGTGGCTGCCTTCACGGCCAGTGAGGGCCACGCACATCCCAGGGTGGTGGAGCTGCCCAAGACGGACGAGGGCCTGGGTTTCAACATCATGGGTGGCAAAGAGCAGAACTCACCCATCTACATCTCACGCGTCATCCCCGGAGGCGTGGCTGACCGTCACGGAGGCCTCAAACGTGGGGACCAGCTGCTGTCAGTCAACGGTGTGGTGAGTGCGGGGCTGGGCAGGGCTAAGGGCACCGTACATAGTGCAGACTCTGATTGTGACATCCATTCAGCACCCACTGACCGCTGCTCTGTGGCCAGCCCTGCACTGTGTGGGGCTACACGCACTGAGACACAGGGACTCCCTCCCTGGTCTGACTGAATTAGTCCTAACTCAGACATAATGAGAAAGCATGAAGCATTGTGGGAATCCAGACGTGGCTCCCGTCCAACATAGATGAGGAGGGTTTTTGCAGAAGAAACATTTGAGCTGGGTTTTGAAGGATGAATGAATAGGAGTCCTCCAGGCAAACCAGGTGAAGAATATTCCTGGCTCAGGTGTTGTGTGTAGGGCCTAACTTCACTCCTCTGAGACAGGGATCAGTTCTGATGGAGATCTGGGACATGCAGGTAATTAAAACACTGGTTAGAGTAGAAAGAAGCGTCACTGGTAGATGGTTGGGGCCCCTCGTGCAGGGCTGAAGTGCCAGTCTGAGAAGCCATGGGAAGGCTGAGAGCAGGGGAGGGATTGCCTTGCCCCGGGTTGTAGAAAGAGCCCTCACAGGGCTTCTGGGAGGTAAAGGAAGCAGGGAGAGGACACGGCCTGAGACGGCCAGAGCTGTTTGGCCCAAGAAAGGGAAACCAGGGTGGGAGGGGACCCGGGGGCTGCTGGAGGAAGAGGACAGAGACAGGCTCAGTGAGAGACTCCCAGGAGGAGGACTTGAGGCCCCGGCCCGCCTGGTCTGGCACCAGGCTCACCAGCGGCTGGCTCCTTGGCGGGGTGGGCCCAGCCAGCTGTGGTCCGGCCTGCCCTGCAGAGCGTGGAGGGCGAGCAGCACGAGAAGGCAGTGGAGCTGCTGAAGGCGGCCCAGGGCTCGGTGAAGCTGGTGGTGCGGTACACGCCCCGCGTGCTGGAGGAGATGGAGGCCCGCTTTGAGAAGATGCGCTCTGCCCGCCGGCGCCAGCAGCACCAGAGCTACTCGTGAGCCCCTGGTCACCCACCCCTGGGCCTCTGCCACCCGCCTCTTCAGATGGAGCGGTGATCCCTGGGCTCTTCCTTGCTGCCCCAGCCCTGGATCCTGCCTGTCCTTGGGCATTCTGACCCTTGACCACTGTGGCCAGACTCCCTGGGGTTGCTCCCTTCATCCCCTCATGGGAACCTCCTAGCCCCCACCTAGCCCGAACCCCAGCCCTGGCTTTCTGGTGCCCCTCTCAGCGCCCCCCCTGAGCCTGGTCCCCTCTCTTCACCACGCCCCCCCCACAGGTCCTTGGAGTCTCGAGGCTGAAACCACAGATATGGACCCTCACCTTTCCCCTGTACAGTATTTATTGTCACTGGCTCCTTATTTAAAGATCTTTGATCCTCGCTGAGCGTCTGTGTGTCTGTCCTGGGGATAGAGCATCTTGAGGTGCAGGGCGGGCGGGCTTGGGGGAGCTGAGGTCTACACCGAGCCTTGACACCTTTTTCAAAGTCACAGAGCAGAGGCAGCGCCCTCTCCTCTCCCCAGGTCTGAAGGTGGAGGCGGCCGGCTTCCTAGGGGAAAATCTGAGGGTGAAGTCCGGGACCTGGTCTGGGTCTGGGTGCGAGGGCACTGAAAACAACTCCCCCTACCCTTAAGAGGGTCCGAGGGCCGGGTTCGGCCCTTCCTCCGCTTTCGGTCAGACCGAGGAGTCCTGAACCGCGACAGCAGCCAGTGGGCGGCCTCTGTGTGGGCGGGGCGGAGCGAACCATTAGCCTCGTCCGCCGGGGGAGCCAGCAGGCCCCACAACCGTCTGCGTGGGAGCCGGGGGTGGGGGTGCCGCGTGCAGTTCCCGAGGCGGGCGCAGGGGTGCAGAACAAGGTGCACTCACCCATCGGGCACTCACCCACCTTCAGCCAAAGCACGTCTTTCCGGGAGCCTCCCTTCCCTTAAAACCCAGCCTTTATCCCCGTT